TTCAAAAATTTACAAAATATGGAAAAATCACGAAAATTAGCAAATTATTTTGAGTTAAGAATTCGTAAAAATTTTTCTTTTTAAATCTAAGATTTGAAAATGAAACACAAGATTCCTTATAAGATTATCTACCTTTATCAATAAAAAAATCTCTACCGGACAGTCAAGTTAAATTTTTATGAGCGTTTGAAATTCAAATTTTTACAACATTGGATATTCACTCGATTACTCATGTAACGATTTCCTTATTTTGTTGCAATTCAAAAACGAACAACTGTAGATACATGAAAATTTCACTCAATGTTTAAATTAGCATTTTCTATACACCATACAATTTTGAAAATATTTTGACTCTTTTGAGATATTTATGGACATTTACAGCTTTCAATTTTTTTTAGTTTTTTTTTCTATAAATATCAATAAAGTTTTATCTGTTGGGCCAAAAAGTGTAAAAATTTAATACAAGGCTCCTGATATATTGTTACAATAGCAGTTGAAAAATATTAAAAATACATAGGCACAGTTTTTTTTTATAAGCATTTAAAGATCAAATTTTGACAAAATTTATCAAAATCTCGAAAATTATCAATCATTGTAATTAATAAATTATAAAATGTTCAGTTTTTATAGCTAAGGATTGCAAATTCAACACAAAGGTTCTCGTAAATAGTTCATACTGTAACCAAAAAATCTAAAAAATATATGAACACACTTATTTTTTACAGACATTTTAAATTCAAATTTGGACGAAATTACATATTAAAAAACCTAGAATAACTATTTTAGTTATTTTGTTGTGATTGAATAATATTATTCGTGGGTACTTGAAACTTCTAAAGTGTACTATTATATATCTATGATAGTATCACGGTTTTTGTTGATGTATAACGTGTTATAAGTATCTAATGGATATTGTGATATGATTAATTTGGAATTTATTATAGGTACCTATTATAGGTCAATTTTTTGTTTAATACCATAGATATGTATATAATATGTCTTATACATAGACTGACATACCGTCACCGCTCAGAATCGTTTTTCTTATACAATGATATTATATCATTGAATTCAAATTTAATACCATCCATTATACAGTGACCCACTTGTAACCTACTGTACAGCAGAGAGACACCCACTTGCCCACCTTTTTTTTTATTATATACTGTGTTTTTTTGTCTAATTTATTTTTATAGTTCAAGATGTCAAACAGACAACCAGGTCCTTATTATTCTGGACATTTTTAAAATGTAGAATGTAGAATGTAGTTATTTTAGTATATAGGTACATTCAATCCGTAAGTGATAATCCATGATACATATTTCTTTGTCGTGTTATAATCATTATATTACAATTTTCAGTACCTACATGATTACATTTTTGTTTCATTGTATTTATTCCGTACCTAGGTACATATTATTAAGTTTTGATTGTAACAAATATTAAAAATGAAAATGCATGATATTGATATGTATGTTGTAAATTAAATATTGTTCTTTTACATAAAGCGTCCTATATTAAAAGTAAGCAATGGATACCTAATTTTGATTTGTTAATAAATAATTCATACATGTTCTTATTATCAATATTATTTATTCTAAACCTAGAAATTAGAAATATTGAAAACAGATTTTAGCTTTAAATACACCATTAAGAAGTGCTTCTAAAACTACATTACGTGAGTAGTTTAAAATTTAAAATGTTTCATTTTTAAGTTAAAATCGTTCAAATTATTTGTGGTAAATAAATGATTGGTCCTGCAGTATATTTGGAAAGGTTTTGTAAATGCTGGTCCTCAGTTCCTCGCAATACTGTGTGAGTGTGCTTGATTTTTCGTAAAAAAAAATACTAATTCTGATCATCTCCCTGAGATGGGCGTATTTTTTTAATTTTCCCCGGGTGTTAAAAAGCTATGATCCGGCGCTGTCTATAACTATAATTAATATTATATTATAAAATACTAGCTGTCCCGCGTTGCCCGCGGATTTGTTTGTTTTTTTGCATTTTCGTTAGCCATGTATTTAGTGTTTAATTTATTATTTATGAGAAAATAAGTTTTTTTTTTTTTATTTGTAGTTAATTAGTAGTTTCGGAGATCATCGCGTAAAGTAAACTATTGACTCCGATTGAGTATGTCAAATCAATATTCATGATGTCACTATAGTAAAGATAAAATCTAATAACCCACTGGATTAAGAATAGAACATAGTCTGCAATGAAAGAGTAAATTACAAACTTCTTTATAGATAACGTAAACAAATTTAATTTTATAAATGATTTTATAACCATTTCTTCAGCCGATTCATGATGTCTAACAACACGTTTGCGTCGTGCCTCATATAGCTATACTCATTGTTGAGGTTTGACTTTTATGGCGGCATTTTACTAAGTACAAATAAGAATAATAAAATATATACTTAAACGTAATAATAAAAAAAAAATATTCAACTCCAAAAGGTATCCCTTCTACGTCCCTTTGGGGTAAAAATTGGTAAGCACATGAGAAAATGGGGAGGGGGTAGCTAAAACCACGAACTTCTAACTCGTACCGAACTTCGCCTTTTATACCTTTGAACATTGAAATTTCTAGAACGAAGCATTAGAGAGCATTGTATACGACGTCACGTCATGTGAGCCACATTGAATATGATACTATGATGCTATCTCCCTTTAGCTACATATTAAATACGTTTAATATTTGGTGTAAGGCACGAATTCATGGATAAAAATTGTGAAATCTCCCTGTAAAATGGAATATGGTAAATGTTTTTATGTGAGATGCAAATAGGGGAGATCGGGGGGGGGGGGGGACTTAGCCCCCCCCCAAAAAAATAGGCGGATCGCTATGGCTGGATTAGAAATAAAGTAAAGTTTATCATGATTGATTAGATTGAATGATTCGTCATTCTTCATTCGTACTTCATATTGACTATTTACGAAATATACTATTTTCTATTTTTCTAAATTATATTTTGCTTATTGTTTGATATCGGTACTCGAAAAAACGTTTCATTCGAGTCTTAACATTTATAATTAAATTCAAATATGTTTGAAATATTTAAATTTAAATCAAAAACAACTGAACCTGAAGAGATACCGACAAGATCGACAGATTTAACTGACAACCTGAAGCAATTGTTGACGATTTGGATTTGGATTTAGGTGATTTAGAGTCTGGTCCTAAAATACCGAAACTAAAGGTAAGTTATAAATGTATTATACATGACATTACCTATCTGTAATAGATAGGTAATAATCTGTATTTTATTATTATTTATTATTATGTAGCATTGTAGCTACCTACTTAATAAAAATTATTAATTTTTATCTAATAATATTTAGCAATTCCCTTTAACACAATGTGGTTCTCAAAAACGTGGTTTTAATTCTTCATATATTTAATTATTTTAATGAGTTATTAAATATAAAAAAAAGTGTTGGGGGTTCAGGGGTGTGGGGGCTTTGCCCCCACGGGTTTGTTTGCTACCAACTATTTGAGCCCCCCCCCAATATTTCACAGGATCTCCGCCTATATAGGCTGGGAACACACGGGCGTTATTTTACCGCGCGACATTTTTACCGCGCCGTAATTTTAAGGCGCGTTTTGTTAAAATACATTAAAATGAATAGAGCACAACACACGAGTGTCGCGCCGTAAAAATATCGCGCGATATTTCGAAAACAGTCGCGTGCACCATGACTTTACCGCGCGCTAAAAATAACGCACGATAAGAAATTAAAGTCGAAATGCATAACAATGATTGGAGGAGAACACACACGCGGTAATAAAACGCGCGACCGATTATTATTTTAATTTGAATTTCGTCATTATCAAGTATCAACAGACAGTCAACATGTCGTCAGAGGAAGAGTCTGAAATCGACATTTCAAATTTGACATCTGAAATTGATGTAGAACAAAATAATAGTCAGTTAGACACAGCACTCGACATAGAACTTTTAATTTCGCTTGTTGAAAGTAGACCAATTTTATGGGACAAGACGTTGGATAAGTTTTCAGACCGCAATGAAAAACGAAAAGCTTGGAAGGAAGTGTTTGGATTGACAAATCCAGGATTTGAAAAACTTGAAATTAAGGACCAAAAATTGATAGGTATGTAAAATACTCTATTAATAATATAATTAACAGACTTGGGTAGTATTCAGAAAATTTTTTATATATTACTTTTTTTTCAAAGTATTTAAGTATTTGCAGTATTTTGAATACTTTTTACAAATATTCTAACTACAGTATTTCGAATAATTACTTTTTTCAACGTCCAATTACATTTTCTAAATTATTATTATTATTATTATTCCATAAAAATTGTATTTAAGTAAACTTAAATATTTTATTTTATTTGATAATAATTTTGAATACTTTTTGTGAAGTATTCCAAATACTTAGGGAATACTTAAATAAATAATTCGAATATATGTTTTGAATACTTTTTTTTACGTAATCGGAATATATGTATATTCGAAATACTTTTATTAATAATTGAAATGATGAATCGTTTATCGTATTGATTTTAAATTATATTTAATTTAATTTTTTTTTAATTACTTGTTTGTACACAATTTAAAGTTGAAATATTGCTTAAATATTAATCTTTGTGTGGTTTTTTTGGTACTTAAACACAATTTTTTTGTAAGGATTTATTGTCCAAATATTCCCGAAATTGCGAAAATTTGCAAGTTACTTTGTTATTAAAAATGCATTAAATTTTGGTTTTATTTATTATTGAAATACATAAAGGTAGGTACAAATATAAATATTATTTTAATAATTTACTTTTTACTAATCAAGTACAAATTATAATACATATATTATTTTAAACTTGGTTTATCATAATTTATAGATAACTAATTAAATGTAAAGAAACATTGCATATTATTATAGGTTATTTAGTAGGTATTTATAGTACATATACAGTCTACAGTATTACTAATGTTTTTTTATTTATAATATAATATTATATCATAGTTTTGCATTTGGTTCTACTTATCATGTTGCCATGAAACTGCTCCTTCTGAATAAAAATAATCAGCATATATATTCCTCATATCAATAGCTGTTCTTCCTCCACGATCAACAATTACTGGATTTATTTCCTCAAAACCTTCCACTGTAAGGGAATCTTTAAAATCGATTCCATTTCTTTCACGTACAAAATTGTGCAAAACACAACACGCGTTAGTGATATTATCTGCCAATTCAGTATTAACATTCAATGGCCGATGAAAGATTCTCCATTTATTGGACAGTATACCGAAAGCACATTCCACGTACCTACGAGCACGAGATAAACAATAATTAAATATGCGTTTTTTATTTGTTAAGTTCCTTCCACGCGTTCCACCATAAGGACGTAGAACATGTTCAGAAAGACCAAATGCTTCATCACCAACAAATACGTAATTTGCAACAACATTAGTATTTGTTATTGGACATGCTTTAGGGATATTTAATTCATTTCTTGTTAAAAGATTCCATAAAGTAGATTTCTTAAAGATGGTTGAATCGGAGTCCTTCCCAAAAGATCCGACATCGATGTACAAAAATTTATAATTTGCATCAACAACCGCTAATAGCACTATTGAAAAATAATGTTTGTAATTAAAATGTTGACTTCCTGTTCCTGTTGGTTTTATAATTCTAATATGTTTCCCATCAACTGCTCCTAAGCAATGAGGAAAATTGGCACGCTGCTCGAACATTTCAGCTGTATTTTTCCATAGTTGTTCCGTCAAAGATGGCATTTCAATGTGAGCTACCCAGTGTGCACTGAATTCGGATATATATTCATCAACAATAAATCTACCGTAGATTTAACGGGGATTTTAAGTAGGTCTTTTCCCAATTGAATCAACACATATTCAGATATTCTAATATACCTTTACCATATATTTTTGTATATGTTAAGGTTGATTTTAAGTTGATTATAGTTTTATTTATCTACGAATAATATACAGATATTCAATATTTATTAAACTCAATTTGCATTGATTGTAATTGTATAATATATATATATATATACTTATAAGTATTCATCAACGATAAATCTTCAGTATTATTATGTTGATTTAAAGTGAATAATTTTCTAGTTGAATCAACATGTATTCTACTATTTTTTCCATAGTATTAATTAAACGTATATTAAACTGACGCGAAATCCATGAATAATCCACATTTCTATGGAGCATGGACATGCATGCACGAATTTCTCAACAGGAACTTATTTATAGAATTCGATATTGTCTGTTTATTTTTAATGATAATTGATAATAATCAAATAATTATGATAATGCGAAATATGTTTGAATATTAGAATAATATGCTCCCACAGTCCCACTTGCCGGAATAAACAAGTAAGTACCTTCACAACATTATTATTATATTTTATAATAAGTGTATAATATAATTATAGTATTTATTATGTCTTCTAACCTTTTATAATAGGTACTTGTAATAAGTAATTTAGTAATAATAAGTATGTACCTACATATATGTACACAGTCCTGTAAAGTATTTGAGTAAAAGTATTCAAATACTTTTTTAAGTATTGAATAACTTTTTAAATACTTTCAGCATGAAGTATTTTGAATGGTATTTTAAATACTTTTTTTTGTATTAAATACTTTTTGGTATTGAATACTTTGGTTTTTTATTTCGAACATTTTATTTTTATTCGAAATAATTTTAGAAATTTTAGAATAAATTAAGAACACAAAATAGGTAGTATCACCAATGGGTGGTTTCTTCCCTCAAAATATCAATCATACGCAAATACCCTATGCACATTTGCTTATTGTTCTAGTTAAGAACAGATTGTAAATTTCATGTAAAAAAAAAAAAAAAATGTAATAAACATTTATTTAATAAATAATAAATAAAAATGATTATACTACCTATGTGTCTATATTACAATAATTAGAAACCCACTTTAAAAACCAAAAGTATTTGAAAAGTATTCCAAATACTTTTTCAAAGTATTTGAGTAGTATTTTAAATACTATACAATTAAAGTATTTGAGTAGTATCTTAAATACTTAAAAAAAAAATGTATTTGAGTACTTACTCAAGTACTTTTCAAAAGTATTCTTTACAGGACTGTATGTACATAATATAGTAAATTACAATAATTTATAATATCAGTTACCTATACCTATATAAGTTAGGTAAAGTTTAATATACATGCATTCATGTTTATTATGTAATATGAGGGTAATCAAATGTTGCCACTATAGTTTACACTACATAATTTGAGACATTTTTAGTATATAGAGTGCCATCAATATCTCTTTAGTTGTAAATTATTGCTGCAAACATTCTAGATGCTCATTGTGAAATTAAAACAATAATTGTGTATCTTGAGATAAAAAAAATTATAAATTTATCAGTTCTTAAATTGTTCACGTTCCTAATACGTTACAATTGTTATTATAGTAACATCAAATTGTATTTTAATTTATGTAAAATCATGTAATTAGGCACCTGTCTAGTGTCTGATTATTTTTTGGTAATATCAAAATCTTGAAAAAAATAAACTATTGACTGCCGATACACTTTTTGACTAGAATTATTTGTATTTTGAGGATAATCAGTGTTATATTTATAGATGTAAAAATTTCATACCTATATTTTAGATACATATTGACAATTTTGATCAACCATAATTCCATGTCTTGTCTTTTATAGGTACCATTTTCTGGTATAATATTTTTTATCTACTATAATTTTATACTTTGTATAACAGGGAAACTATTACGTTTATATTATTTTAACAATATCTACATCACTATTGTCTTATTCTCTAGATTTGTTTTGTTTACCTTTGGACAAATGTTCATATTAAACGATTCTTTGATTTTCTCATAAGTACCTACTGTATTCACAGTCAAGGCGATTAATGCAATTTAGCAATTGCTAATACCTAGATACATTGTGTTTTGGTGAAAACAATTTGACAAAATAAATCAAGTTTTTTTTGAAAATATTAAATGCCCGGAGGACAGCCTGAACACTGACTTGATTAATTTACAACTAAATAATTTATAATGACATCTTAAGTTTCAAATGATATTGACAAAGTTTAACATCATAACTCCTGAGTTATTTTCATTGTATTTGAATTTACATTTGTTACTGTAGGTATGTAGGCTTTGGTGTTTTCCAAACATAATTTTAACTACTTAATTTATTAATTTAGTTTTACTGTTTAGTCCTCATGGCCCCATTATACTTCTAAACCGCTTAGCAGTATTTATTTTTTCAATTGTCAAGAAATTTCCATTCTACCTTCCTTTTGATAAGTCTACCTCTACATATAAGGTTGTTCAGTTTTCTGATTGTTTGAATTTAGTTCACAATTTGTAGGTAGAGAGCATATTATATACCTATATACCTATTACCTATATATACTTATATATCTAGGCTTTGAGTTTACTTGATTCACCTTAAAAAAAAAAATTAATCATAATATAATAGGTACTTATCATTGTTAAATTGTTAATATAAATAATTATAATTACATAATTTTATATTGTTAATGTTTATTATAGAAGGGTTATTTGTAGGTATATAGAAGGTGATTCAGCTATAGCTACTTAGTACACAATAATATATTATATGATATTTTTTTGATAAATAGATTTGCAATATACACTTAATGATGTATACAAAATAATCACTATATTATACAAATATTAAAATATAAATACCTATGTAGGTATATAACAATATTATTTAGTATAAATAGTATCATTACAATAATTCCATATTATGCATGATTTAAAATGATTAACTAATACTTACCATTATTAATTAGGTATATCTTTTGTCAGTTGTCATAAGGTTTAAAATGTGCACAGGTTAATTTATATTAAAAATGTAGTATAAATTATAATCTAATATTAATTTAATTCATCATTTTTAACAGTATATTTCTCTTTGTTTTGATTTGTTCCAATTGTATTTAAAGTTATTAATATACTGAATTAATTTTCAAATAGATTGCAAGATTTGTAAGTTAGTATGCCACGACGACACTATAGGCCTACTTCTGAATTGTCTACAGTGTGTAGAAAGCGAAGATTGCAAGGAATAAATCATTCAGCACAAATAGTTAATTCACTTGAAAGCAACTTACAACCTCAAACTATAATATATAACGAACTTCCACACCAAACATTTTTATTTCCTGATAATCAACTAAGTATTTCTGTTCAAGATGAAAATATAAATTATATAAATGTCAATGATCAAACACCTTCAAATAATACTAATTTACTTCAAAATATTGAGAAAGAAAATGATGATAATTTAACTCCAAACGTCTTTAAAAATAAACTTGCTAAGCTTATAATTGATGGTAATTTCTCTCGTAATAAAGTAAACGATCTCTTATGTTTATTAAAAAATGTGAATGACATAAATATTTTGAAAGAACTCCCATCAGATTCCAGGACTTTTCTTTCTTGTCCCAGATCGGGTAGTTTAAATATTATTACTCAATCTGATGGAGGGCAGTACATTCATTTTGGATTAGTTGATGGACTTAAGTATGTGTTACAACTACATACTCAATGGCAAACACAAGATATATTAAATCTTTGGATATCAGTAGATGGGACAGAGATTTTAAATTGTCATTTTTGGCCTATACTCGGTGGTGTCTGTAATGGATCAGTATTACAAGTTTTTGTTATTGGTGTATACTGCGGAAGTCTTAAACCAAAATCTTGTTCCGAGTATTTGTTTCCTTTAATTTCAGATTTAAAAACTGTTCTTACTTGTGGCTTCAACTATAATGGTGGCACAAAGAAATTAAATTTTTTTGGATTTATAGCAGATGCGCCTGCACGTGCATTTTTAAAGTGTATCAAACCTCACCAATCTTACTATGCATGTGAAAAATGTACTGTAAAAGGTATTTATGATAAAGATCGGATATGTTTTCCAAATGGTTCCTGTGAATTGAGAACAGACTCTTCATTTAGACTTCAAACACAGCCAGAACATCACACAAGTGTTACACCTCTAATAGAAATTCCAAATTTTGATGTAATTAAATGTGTACCTCTCGATTACATGCATTTATGTACTTTAGGTATAACAAAAAAATTACTGAATTTGTTTGTTAGAGGTCCTATAAAAAAAGATAAAACTGGTCCATTTGGATCTGTTAGATTAAGTACATTATCCTTGGCTGAAATTGATAATCGTTTAAATACATTATCTATACATCTTAGCACTGACTTCTCCAGAATTCCTCATACCTTAAGAAATTGCAATATTTTTAAAGCTACTGAGCTAAGACTTATAATGTTGTATCTTACTCCAGTTCTTTTTAGAGGTATTTTACCAATTGAGCTGTATAACAATTTTATGAGTTTTCATGTAGCAATGAGATTACTTGCATCTCCGATAACTTGCTCCGACAAAAATGGTTATGCACAGAGTTTATTAAATTATTTTTTGGAAACATTTATACTTTTGTATGGTTCACATTTAGTATCTTATAATGTTCATTCAATAATCCATTTGCCAGCTGATGTATTACAATACGGACCAGTTGATAATTTTTCTGCATTTCCATATGAAACTTTTTTAAATAGACTAAAAAAATATATGAAATCTGGAAAATTCCCACTATCAGAATTAGCTAACAGAATAATAGAAGATAGAAGAAACTCTCTTAGCATATCTTCTAACAAAATTACCACTCCTATTTTAAAACAACCCCATCAAGATGGGAATA